GAAAGTGTTGGCAAGCCTGGATCCAAAACAGCTACAGTAGTTCGAATACATGTTTTTCTAGTTGGTTATCGTTTTATACTCTATCTCCTTGCGGTGTGGGAGACGTAGAGCGCGGTGGATCAGCCACTTTACTCCAATGTGCAAAGCAAGTGCTGCTTGCTTGTAAATCAGAGGCCGCCGTTGACTGCTGTTTGCGAGAGTTTATTTGCCCACCGATTTAACAGTGTCACTCTCTTCTCTTCCACTTGTCAGGATTTATAATAATGCCCCAGAATTTTATTGGCTGACCATTTCGGAGTTCACATTAAGCCTTCACGGATGCCGTATCAACTAAAGGGGACCAAGTTCAGTCATTCGTCACCCCGCCGAACAATCCCTTATATTAACGATTGCTCCCTGCCTGCAACATGAATAGCAGGTCGTCTTTAGGGAGCTTCAGGCAAAAATTATATTTTTCGTTACTGGCAGATTTGCCTCAGCCAGGTATTTCAACGTTTTGTAATTCTCTAGATACTATTCGATGGCAGCGAATATCCATCGATGGTTATTGGATGGAGCTACATGCCCAACTCTTCTCATTTCGCGCTCCTTGCTTCCCATGATACCGCGTGTTACTCTGATTTTCTTCCGATTTTGCACCATGGGTGTCATCGCAAAGGAAAACGCCGAACATCCACTGTTGTCAATGCGATTGTGGTAAAGCCGTGCCATATACCCTGATTCAATCAGTCAGTCCATTCGTTGACCACTTATTCTTTTGAGTTGCGGATACAGATGCGTCAGACAGTGTCCGATGTTCTTGATCCTGTGCCATCGTTTCACCTTCGGCAGAAGATAATCCCAGTCTGTACCAGAGTTCTTCGAGACACTTGCTCCATGTTATTGTTGACCATTTCTGAGGTTTTCCATCTCTCCGTTGAGCAAGTTAAAGCTGCTCTCCTTTCTGTTATGAGGCATTCGAAACACGTGCCAAAACCATCGGTTTTGCGGCTCATCAATCTGTAGAAGCTGCGACTGTACACCAAGGTTCTTTCGGTTATCTGCGTTGCATAGTAGATTGTCTCTCTGCGCCTGAATATTCTGTTAATTTACGACACAAATAGGCCAGGGGACGGAATGTACCATTTGCGGAGATCAGTGCAAACGCTGAAAGTTTTCAACTTAACGTCATTTACTCTGACGCAGCACCTTCTGTCAACATATAGTGATTGGGTGGCCCGTAGCAACTGGCCATCGATCCCATATGTTCGCAGGCATGGCCTTAGACTCTTGGGCAAGATCCAGTCGCAGGCTTTTTGTGGTTTACAAAACATTTAAATTGAATGAACAAACTGCTGCGATTATTCAACAGTCTGGTGTAAGGCGAATATTTGGTCAAATCGCCATTATCCTTCGCCCTGACCGGAAGCCATTCTATTCCTTGTGCATTTTTTCAGTTGTTCCACAGTACTTCCTTTATAACACCGCGTAGATTTTTCCCATGAGACTCAGTAGGCTAATTCTTCGATAGTTCGAGGACTCCTCTTGGTCTACATGGTTCAACAGGAGTACTACAACCTACGTTCCCCAGTCCACGAATCTACGTGGTCATTGCACTTTGACGGACACGTGTTGGTCACAACATGACCTGTTCGTCTAAAGCTGTAAGTGTCTCAGGGCAGTCTTTGTAATATTGCCGAAGTTATTTACAGCAACATCAGAAAAGGTTTTCAAGACACTCCGTTAAAAAACAGGCGCTGAACATAAATCTGCACTACTTAGACCATCTGCGGTTTGCGGTCCGAGTCCAGTGAATCTGAACCACGTCAGGATCAAATTAGGAGACCAAAAATGAACCAGAAGAAAATTCAAATCATGCTTGGGAAACACATGATCTTGCCAAATCTTGAACACTTTTGAAAAACTGAAAATGTTCTTATTCGCTAAGCTGCCCTTTTGCTTGAAGCGAGAATTTTTCGATCAGTATGGGTACGAAACATCGATCCAGAATATTGCAAGCTATTTATAAACTACTGACTACGCCAGCAGCATCAAGATACGTATGTTGAGAATAAGAAAAATGATAGCTAGCCGATTAAGTGGATAAAGCACATAAAAGTGTGCGATGTCATTGTCCAAGTGAAAAGGTTTCAAGTGGCCATGGACAGGATACATTTCAAGAAGAAACGAAATCCCTGCGCTATGCAGGTATGATACTGGGTTTCGAAAGAGAGCAAACTGTCCGTTGAAAGATCTCTGAATCGATTACAGGATGAGCTGAAAAAATTCGCTGAATCTGAGTAGACGAACCTAGCAGATAATTGAAGTTCATGGCATAGTTTTTGAGTGGCCTTCATCCAGCTATCGATTGACAGAGGCTGATGATGATGATGAAGTTAAATTCAATATTGAAGGAAACGTACATCTTTGCTTATGGACCGCTACGATTATATAATCGAT